CTTGAATCCTTGGCAGTGATTGTGTCCTTCACTCCAATGGCTTGAATCCTTGGCAGTGAATGTGTCCTTCACCCCAACGGCTTGAATCCTTGGCAGTGACTGTGTCCTTCACCCCAACAGCTTGAATCATTGGCAATGATTGTGTCCTTCACACCAATGGCTTGAATCCTTGGTAGTGAATGTGTCCTTCACTCCAATGGCTTGAATCCTTGGCAGTGAATGTGTCTTGACCCCAATGGCTTGAATCCTTGGCAGTGATTGTGTCCTTCACTCCAATGGCTTGGACCCTTGGTAGTGATTGTGTCCTTCACCCCAACGGCTTGAGTCTGTGGCAGTGATTGTGTTCGTCACCCCAACGGCTTGAGTCCTTGGCAGTGGTTGTGTCCGTTACCCAAACGGCTTGAGTCCTTGGCAGTGGTTGTGTCCGTCACCCCAACGGCTTGAGTCCTTGGCAGTGATTGTGTCTGTCATCCCAACGGCTTGAGTCTTTGGCAGTGATTGTATCCTTCACCCCAACGGCTTGATTCCTTGGCAATGGGCTTTCGACAATTTCTTTATATTATGACATTTTGCCTTCACTAACCACCTATTTTTTTTTTTAGGAAGCATGGAAAGGACACTTGAATATCTTCGACATGACGAGAGGGATGTATTGGATAAATCTGGTTCGAAAATAATTCGGCACAAACCTATCACTGCTTTATTGTCACCTACCGAGTTGGACCCCTACATCCCTTTACATACGGCTTCCAAAGACTTGGTCTATACAAGAATTCGAAACTGTTGTGAGATTCTTGAGAAAGGGCACTCCAAATCAATCGGTTCATTCCCTGTCTCAATCCTCCGTCCATTTTCTGAAGACCTTGACTGCTCTGAATTTAATACTCTTCTTAAGAGAATGAAACATGAAAAATTGAAGTGGGATAATTCTTTTAATGTTCGTGGCATTTCTACCCATTTGCAATCCCCTATATGGATTTTTTGGTTGAATGATGTTCTTTCCACATTTGCCCCTATTTTGAAGAAGTGTGGGATTTATGCTACAATCTATGTATCCCAATTTGCTTATGCTAGGAATGTCTCTCTGCTCAAAGGATTCTTAGAGCGGTGGTCACCCGACACCAACACTTGCCACACCATTTACGGCGAACTTGGGATCGCTTTATGGAACCTTCATCGCATTAGTGGGCTCCCCATCTGTGGCGAGTTTTATGAAGAGTTCACTCCCTCCAATGACATTTTATATTCGTCCCAGACATCCAAGGCGTGCCGTGGGCTTTTCAACATTTATGCCAGCTTTTTTCAATCCAAGAAGTTTAACCATTGGACTGTCAAATTCATTGACGAATCCCCAACTTCGATTAGTGGTTTTCAACGAAAAGATAGAATCCCTGATGATGTGTATCTTTCTGGTTTTTTGGCGAGATGGCTTAGCGGATTTGTCTTCCCTCACTCTTCCGAGGAAATTCGTCCGACTACATTTCATGTAGCCACCAAAATGGCCGGTGGAACCTTATTTAGCTTGGCCATCCCTGTGCTTGCGTACTTCTATCATTCTCTTGGTAAAATGGTATCATCACCTTCACCTGGGAAGGAAAATATTTAGGGTCCTTTGCATTACCTTTTTGGATGGATTTCACTATATTTTGTTAAGACTTACTCTCATGGGGATCCTCAGTCGATCTGTCCGATTCCTGATATTCATTTCATGCCATATCTTGGATTTATTGGAAACCAATCGGCTGCCCAGTTTTTTACTAATAAATTTCCATTTGTGGATTCTCTCCTAACTTATCGTACGGAGTGTCAGTTTAGGGCTCTTACCCATGAAGGTGAACCTTCAGGCATTCTGGTCGACTCTGAAATGATGTCACCTTTCCACCTTGGCTATCTTATATCTTTAAGGCAACGAATTTTAACTTTTAAAATGGGATTTAATTTCATTTATGAACTGTACTCCCCTAACCGATACGGTCGTCAATTTGGGTTTGCTCAAGCGTGTCCTACACCGCTTAATGTATTTTGTCGGCAGCCCTCTGAGTGGTCTAAATTTTATTACAACTGGCGCCATATGTTACGCTGCGAGACAAAAGTCTCATTGGAGTTACTAGGCACCCAATCTACTTCTCACGTAACCATGACTTATGCCAATTGGTGGTTGGGAACTTCCTTTACCGTGCTCCAATATGTTACTCATACCCAGCTGAAATCTTCACGCAAGAGAAAACTGGATATGTCAATTAAAGACCGAAAGACGAAGAATCCTTATTGCTTTGGAAGCATCATCACCTCAGAGAATGGATAATAGTCGACCACTTATTGCTCCTTCCCGATCTAGTTACTCGGTTTCAGATCTCCTTCATCTTTTCGAGGATATGTGTAATTCTCAATTTAAAATGAGATTTAGCTTTGAGCAAGTAGATTCTGGCCCTCAATTTTTTAGTCTCGCAAAGCTTTTTCCAGAGACTATGCCTATCAGTGATTGTACAGGAACTTCCCAACCCACCGTAGCGACCAAAACCCCAATGGATCAATTTCGCAAATACTTGTACTCTTTTCTTGAAGATAAAGATGAGAATATGATTCAAGAACTCTTTGAGGGAGATGGGTATGAATTAATTGCCTTTGGTCGTATTCGCATTAAGAGTGTTGAAATTCCTTTTCCTACCAAATCTTTTGATTGTTCTCTCAATGGAAGTAGCGCGAGTGAAGATGAGTTTTATGATTACACCCCTCATTTAGATGGCACACCGACTAAGATGAGTAAATTGCCCCCAGCAAGTGTAGGTTTTTTTTCTCATTCTTTGAACAAGCCATCCAAGCTATTAGAGAAAGGTATAATTCTTTCTCTCTTTTTATTTTTTATTTTTTATTTTTTATTAACACCTCTTATTTTCTTAGGCACTGCGCCTCGGACTTCCCCAGCTGTCTCGTATATGCCATTGGCTACCTTTAAGGGTATTCTTATTCATTCCTTGTACCACATTTTATTTTATCATTTATACATACTTAAGGAACTCTTTTCTCTTTAGATCATGCCACATTGCAGAATCCGTGGTCCGCTTGTGGGAATCACAACTTGTCTTCTCCCATACCTAAGTCTCTTCAAGCCGCAAACCAAGGTATACTTCATTCATCCATATATATATATATATATATTGTTTTTACATTCTATGTTTTCATTGAGTATCTCCTTCTATGTTCATAGAAATTACTTCTGACGCATTGGAAGAGAGAGACGAAATTACGTCTGATACCTCGGAAGAGGCCCAAATTCTTGCAGACTTACTTGAAGCAAATGGGGTTAACAAATTATTTGACAAACTTGAAGCATCCTTTGCTCCATCTAGCCTTCTTTTGGGAACTTCCTCTAACGAAGCAACCACCTATATTCAGAAAGGTCTTACTATTTCTCTCAAATCAGTGACGGATGTTAATGGCATGATTGCTGTAGCAAACAACGTTTTCATGATTTTGAAGAGTTTGGGTGTAGTCTTCATCTCATTTTACGAGAAGGTGAAGATATTCCTTGGGTGCTTTGCTTTGAAAGCCTAACTTGCAGATTCTTCAAACTTGTCTACTGTAGAATTTGAGGCCCAATACTATGAGAAGAAGCTTCATTTCGACAAAGTTTTTGGTGAACATGAATAGTTGTCTGCTTCAATTATCAAGTCAGATGAGCACATTGCGGGTCTTAATCAAAAGATTATTCAAACCAAAGAGCTACTCAAACAACTTGAAGAGGAATTGTCATCCACCCAAGCGGAACATGCATCATTTATGTGTGATTTTGCACAAGCTTTCGAGAGTGTTTCTAAATCAAAAGAAGACGTGCAAACCGCTCTGAACATTTTGAGCCAGCACAAGAAGAAGAATGGACAATACAGTGTTGTGGAACGTGCTTTTGAAAGGGCTAAGGCTTCTCTTAATGAATGAATGCACATTTATTTTGTTATTCATCTGAACATAATGTATTTATGAAATTTCGCTTAGTGATAGATTTATTTGTTATATGAAATTTCTCAATACAATACATTGATTTGTCTTATTTTAGCCGTTCACAATTTATACTCTTGCGGGCCAGGAGTATCTAATGTTTTATCACCTTAGATTTCGGTGAGGTATTTTAGCAGTTTAGCCACATACAATATCGTTGGTGGTCTTCGACTTTTGTTTGGCCGTACACAGTTTATACTTTTGCGGGTCAGGAGTATCCAATGTTTTACCACCTTAGATTTCGGTGGGATATTTTAGCAGTTTAATCACATACAATACCATTGGTGGTTTTTGACTTTTGTTTGGCCATACACAGTTTATACTCTTGCGGGCCAGGAGTATCCAATGTTTTACCACCTTAGATTTTGGTGGGATATCTTAGCAGTTTAACCACATACAATATCGTTGGTGGTCTTCGAATTTTGTTTGGCCGTACACAGTTTATACTCTTACGGGCCAGGAGTATCCAATGTTTTACCACTTTAGATTTCGGTGGGCTATTTTAGCAGTTTAACCACATACAATACTGTTGGTGGTTTTTGACTTTTGTTTGGCCGTACACAATTTATACTCTTGCGGGCTAAGAGTATCCAATGTTTTACCACCTTAGATTTTGGTGGGGTATTTTAGCAGTTTAACCACATACAATACCGTTGGTGGTCTTCGACTTTTTTTTTTTTTTTTGCCCTAACTTTTGCTTAGGCCACCCTTTCGGGTTTTCAACCTAGCAAGCTTTCTTAAGGGTAATATCTCTTCAAGAACCTTGCATTGGTTGGGGAAATGATTCTGTCACCATCCATCGTTATCAACAAATACGCTCCATTAGAATAAACCTTCTCAATCACATAAGGTCCTTCCCATTTGGGCTCAAGCTTTCCTTTGGTTCTTCGTGAGACTACTATGGGTGTTTTAACCATTAGTACCAAGTTTCCCTTTTTAAAGGAACGAAGCCTCACTCTTTTATTGAATGCATTTGCCATCCTTTGTTGGTAGATCTCTAAGTTCTATTGAGCATACAACCTTCTTTCATCCAGGGTCTCCAGCTCAGCCAACCTCACTCTTGCACTTTCATGTTCTGTTAAGGACTCTTGTATTGCCACTCGCAATGATGGTATTTGAACCTCAAGTGGTAACACTGCTTCTCCTCCAAAAACCAACGAATAAGGGGTTGCTTGAGTAGGAGTTCTGTGCGAAGTTCGATAAGCCCACAAAGCTTCTTGTAACTTTTCGTGCCAAGCTTTTTTGTTCTTATCCACCATCTTCTTAAGAATTTTGCACAATGTCTTGTTGAAAGCTTCTGCCAAACCATTGGCAGGTGCATGATATCTTGATGAATGGTTGTTTTTGATTTTGTACTTGGCAAATAACTTGTTCAAAGCATCACTCCTGAATGGCTGTCCATTATCCATGATGATATTTTCTGGAATCCCGAACCTGTAAATGATATGGGTTCGGATGAACTCAGAGACAACTGTGCTTTTTATATCCTTTAAAGCCACGGCCTCTGCCCATTTTGAGAAATAGTCAGTTACAGCTAGGATGTATCGATATCCTGCTAAAGATGGAGGCACAAAAGGACCAATAATGTCCATACCCCACGCTGCAAATGGCCAAGAACAAGTTGTTAAATGTAAAGGCTCTGGGGGTTGGTGGAGAAAGTTCCCATGGAATTGGCAGACATGGCACCTTCGAGCATAATCTATGCAATTTGCAATCATAGTCGGCCAATAGTATCCCAACCGTTTTAGCTGCATATGTAATTTAGGACCACTTTGGTGTGCCCCACATACACCTGCGTGTATTTCTGCCATTACCTCTTGAATAAGCTCCTTGGCTATACACCGCATGTATATTCCATCTAAAGACTTTTTGTATAACCCATCTTTCCACAGGATGAATTTGATAGCCCTACGTCTCACTTCAATTCTTTTTACTTTATCTTCAGGTAGCCTACCATGTTGAAGGTAAGCTATGAATGGTTCCTGCCAATCCTCCTCGCTTTCTCCCTTCGTGGTGACGATCAAGATTGGAACCAAGTCAGAAACTTCTTTTAAAGGTTGTAACACCCTTCTTTCACCTACCGTGGTAGTAATTGTTTTGCTATCTGGTAGGGTCAATGATGTAGCCAAACTTGTAAGTGAATCAGCTTGAGCATTTGTTCTTCTATTCACATGGAAAATATGTGTTTTCCTGAATTGTGAAAGCAATTGATCAGCCCTTTCATGATACGGGATGGGACTTTTTTTCTTAACAATGCATTCTTCACTGAGTTACTTTACCACCAATTCTGAGTCTCCATAAATTGAGAGTTCTTCAATAGGAATTTGTAATGCCAATTTTAATCCAGCAATTATAGCTTCATATTCTGCCTCATTATTGGAGCATCCTTTACTTAAGGCGAAAAAATGGGTGATTATAGCATTGTCTGGAGTCATAAACACAATTCCAATTCCAGCTTTATTGTTTTTAGGATTTTCTTGCTTCTTGCCATCTGGACTCCTTGAAGCTCCATCAAAATACATCTCCCATCCTTTCTGGATTTCTACTTGCATAATGTAGACACCCCATTTTTGACCGACCTTAAGACTCAGACGTCATCGATTGAGCGCTCGGTGATGATGCATGTTGTGCTCGTTCTGAGGTTTCGGAGTTTTGGTTGAGAGCCTTGCCTCAGGGCCTCGAAACTTTTTGTGCTTTGGCTCGGTTTGCGGACCAAGTCTTGTTTTCCCTTCCCGGAGGGAGGGAATGGTCTTGTAGGCCATCTCTCTGTGGTCGTAGACTACTTTTCGTGGTCATAGGCCACTTTTCCCGTTGGAGACTAGTTTTCGATTTTTGGAGCCTTTGGCAGCGCGCCTTGTCTCGGGACCGCTTAATATTCTCTGCTTGGCGTGGTTTTTGAACCACACCTTATTGCCTCTGCCTAGAGGAACACTGTGGTTCGGGAGACCACTTTTGTGGTCGTATACCACTTTTGGTGCTCAACAGCTGGGTTTCGAGGCTCCCGGCTGCGCGCTTTGCCTTCCGAACTCTCGTTTTGCATCTGTTTTGGTTTGTTTTTGGTACAAACCTTGTTTTTCTTGTTTGGGAGGTGGTACAAGGGTGGGAGCCCACTTTTTCTTCTTGGAGACCACTTTTCTCCTCGCCAGCCGATTTTCTAGTCGGGAAACTGGTTTTCTTGGTCTTTGGGCTGCATTTATTGGTTTCCCACCCCACCATTGGCTTGCTTTCAGTGTGGAAGCCGCCACCTGTCGACCACTTTCTTTTCTGGTCGACCAACCACTAAAAGTAGCAGGCCGACCACTTTAAGTGGTCAGTAGCTTTCCCCTTGTTTTGGCAGACTGAGTGGATGCCAGTTGTGCCAGTTGGAGGGCACAGACTGTATCCTCCATACACGTGTATGGAGAGATTGCATCTAAGTTTTACCTTCTCTAGGAAGCTTGAACCTTTGTTTTTCTATAAGAGAGGCTCTCCATCTCCTTTCCACAAGTTCTGAATTTTGTCTAAGGTACAAGTGTATATCTCCCTCTTTATCTCTATATTTGGTGCCTAAAGTGTGTGGTGTTCTTCACCTTTACACCACAACTCTTAACCATATACCCCACCATTGGACTAAGGTTCTTAGAGGACCTTTTTGGAGGTTGAAAAGCTAGTTTTTGGTTGAGAAACTTGTTGGTATTGCAGTGCTTCAAGGGTAATCCCTTTCTCCCCTTTTAAGCTTTGTCATGATCATTCTCTTAGCCATATTTGCATGCTTATTTGGGCTTTGATTTCAACTGAAAAAAAGTCTTGTATTTATGTGTTTTTGATGTTTGTTTAAGGCCCCTTGGGTGTTGGGGGTGTTCTACCCCATTTGTGCTTTGTTTGGCCTTGTTTTGTGCCATGCCTTAAGGCCTTTGAATTAATCTTTGCTTGGCCTTCTAGCCACTGAAATCCAGTGGATTTTTAGTGGTAGACATGTGGTTTTGAGGCCTAAAACCAGAGGGGGCTGACCCCCTTTCTTTTGGTTTTGTTTGCTTGCATTTTTGGCCTATCAAAGGAGCATACATTTTCATACTTTCAAGGCTTGGTTCAGGCACTTTTTGGTGACTTTTAGGGCCTGCCTAGAACTATATCCATGGTTTGTTTGGTCACCCTTGGCATGCTGCTCATATGCGTAGTGGATTCCCATTTATGGCTCATCAAGGTAGCATGTCAATCTCGCATGTTTTAGCTCCATTTCAGTGGATTTTTGGTCATCATTTGGCATGTCATGGCTCTATTTATGGTTGGTTTAATAGCCTCTTGCATGCTTCATATGCTTGTAGTGTAAATCTTGTTCACTAGCTTTGAATGCATGATGTTTTGGCTCTTTATTCTAGCACATTTTGACTTTGTTCCAACATGATTTTGTTCATATTTTGGGCTGCCTTAGCTCTATTTTGAAGCCTCCTGGTTGAATGATGCTTGCCATGCATGCATGTAGTGTAATAGCCTTGACTAGCTTTGAGTTTTGAGGTCTCTTGCATGCTTAACTTGAGATATTTGCATGTTTTAACATCATTGGGGATGTTATTTCAGAGCATGTGGGGCTGCTATATTTCCATATTTTCCACTCTTTAAGTGCTCTTTAGAGTTATGCTTTTATGCCCTATTTGTGAGCCATTGCATGAGCTCCATTTTTGTGCCTTTCAAAGCCATCATCCCAACTCATTTTGCTACTGTTTTGGCCTGCATAGGGTCTATTTAGGGTTGGTTTGGTCATTTGAGCATCGCCTTGCATGCCTCTAGTGTAATATGCTTCACTAGCTTTCGATGTTTGAGCCCTTCAACATGCATTACATGAGTTATTTGCATGATTCGAAGTCATTTTGTATGCCATTTCAGAGCTGGAACATATGCCCTTGCACTTCATGTTTCATCCTTTCAATGCATTTGGAAAGTTGTGTTTTGTGCCTTAAGCTTGGTCCATTGCATTGTGCATGCTCACATGTGTTTTGTGTGCCTTAATTCCATCATCTATGGCCACTGATTTGGATATGGCTGAGGCTTATTCATTTTGGTTTAAGTCCATTCCGCATTGAGTATGCCATGTAGTTCATAACATTGAAGTATACCATGTTGTTGTATGATTGATCATTGCGTTGTGCATGCCATTTTCATCGCATTGTGTATGTTAGTTTCCATGTACATTGTATATGCTAGTGTCATGAGCATTGTGTATGCCATATAGTTTATAACATTGCGTATGCTAGTTGCATGTTTGCATGTCTAAGTTGTATTGCATTAGGTTGCGTGCTTGAAGTTGCATTGTGTGTGCCATGTTTGTTGCATTGTGTTTGGGATAGGAGTTAGTCCGTGCACGGGAAACGAGGGGCGTTTCATACTCAAAGTGATGAAACGTGCCTCAATTCCCGGTCGCCGACACTCTTGACTATACATGATGGAGTTTTAGGCCTTACGTGTTCATATGTGCATTCATTTCATATTGAGTTGCGCAATTCAGTTCTTCGGCCACCATGCATCGAGATGTATGATTGATGGCTCGAGGATCGAGACCTACACTCCCTTGAGCTTATGTAATGATGGGGAGGTGTAACAAGCCCGCGGGGGGACCTCGCTACAGTTCGGACTCGATTTTTCGTAGTCACGGTTCTAAGTCTGAACCAAAGAGTCCAAATCCGGCAAATCGTTTTGAGAAAACTGCTTTTTACCTTCTCTAGGAAGCTTGAACCTTTGTTTTTCTATAAGAGAGGCTCTCCATCTCCTTTCCACAAGTTCTGAATTTTGTCTAAGGTACAAGTGTATATCTCCCTCTTTATCTCTATATTTGGTGCCTAAAGTGTGTGGTGTTCTTCACCTTTACACCACAACTCTTAACCATATACCCCACCATTGGACTAAGGTTCTTAGAGGACCTTTTTGGAGGTTGAAAAGCTAGTTTTTGGTTGAGAAACTTGTTGGTATTGCAGTGCTTCAAGGGTAATCCCTTTCTCCCCTTTTAAGCTTTGTCATGATCATTCTCTTAGCCATATTTGCATGCTTATTTGGGCTTTGATTTCAACTGAAAAAAAGTCTTGTATTTATGTGTTTTTGATGTTTGTTTAAGGCCCCTTGGGTGTTGGGGGTAATAAGCTCCTTGGCTATACACCGCATGTATATTCCATCCAAAGACTTTTTGTATAACCCATCTTTCCACAGGATGAATTTGATAGCCCTACGTCTCACTTCAATTCTTTTTACTTTATCTTCAGGTAGCCTACCATGTTGAAGGTAAGCTATGAATGGTTCCTGCCAATCCTCATCGCTGTCTCCTTTCGTGGTAACGACCAAGATTGGAACCAAGTCAGAAACCTCTTTTAAAGGTTGTAACACTTTTCTTTCGCCTACTGTGATAGTAATTGTTTTGCTATCTGGTAGGGTGAGTGATGCAGCCAAACTTGCTAGTGAATCCGCTCGATTGTTTATTCTTTTCTTCACGTGAAAAATATGTGTTTTCCAGAATTGCGAAAACAATTGATCAGCCCTTTTATGATACGAGATGAGACTTGTTTTCATAACAATGTATTCTCCATGGAGTTGCTTTACCATCAGTTTTGAATCTCCATAAATTGAGAGTCCTTCAATAGGAATTTGTAATGCCAATTCTAATCCAG